CAAACAACATAATAATAAAAACATAAAATATACCAATGAGAAATAATATGAGAGCAGCAAAGGAAAAAGATCAAGTAGCATAAAGGAAAATCTATCAGAATTACAATTGATTTCTTCATGGAAACTCTGAAATCCAGAAGGTCCTGGATAGACATTCTGCAAAAACAAAGAGACCACGGATGCCAACCCAGGCTACTATATCCAGCAAAGCTTTAAATAACTATAGATTGATAAAACAAGATATTCCCTGAAAAAAAACAAAATTTCCCCCCTTCTCCCTCCCAGTCCCACACCCTCTTCCAGCCCAATCCCCACATATTTCCCAAAGGAAGGTGAGGCCCTCCTTGGGGGGGATCTCCAGAGTCTGTCATTTCATTCAGGGTAGGACCTAGGAACTTCTGCATGTGTCCAGGCAGAGAGAGCATCCCTCTATTTGGAATGGGCTCCCAAAGTTCATTTGTATGCCACGGTGAACACTAATCTACTACCCAAGGCCCCATAGATTTCTGAGACCTCTTTGCTGACACTGCATTCGTGGAGTCTGGATCAGTCCCCTGTTGGCCTCTCAGCCATCAGTCTGGGGTTCAAGAGCTCCCACTTGTCCAATCAGCTGTCTTTGTGGGTTTCACCAGCATGGTCTTGATCCCTTTGCTCATCAAACCTCCATCCCTGTCACTGGGTTCCAGAAGTTACAGTTCAGTGTTTAGCTGTGAGTATCTGTCTCTGTTTCCATCAGTCACTGGATGAAGGTTCTAGGATGTCATATAAGGAAGTCATCAACCTTATCATTAATGTAGTCTCTCCACTATTACTTAGTTTTCCATTTGGTGTTATCCTTGTAGATCTCTGAAAATCTCACTGGTGTCAGCTCTCTCCTCAAAGCTATAATAAATCCAACTATTATGGTATCTCTCATCCTGGTCTCCTCTATTCTTACCCCAACTCAACCTTCCTGCTCCCTCATGTCTTCTTCTACCCTCCTCTTATCCCCCTCTCTTTTTCCTGGCTCATTCTCCTCTCCCCTCTTGTTCCCAATCTACTCAGGGGATCCTGCCTCTTTCCACTTCTCTGGGGTATAATAAATAACTCTTGGGAAACTCCCTGTTTCCCAGATTCACTGGCCCTGGGATTCTAGGCTGATACTCCCCTGATCCATGTCTAAAATCCTTATACGAGTGAGTACATACCATGTTTGTCTTTTTTGTGACTGGGTTACCTCACTCAGGATGGTTTCTTCTACTGCCATCCATTAACCTGCAAATTTCAATATTCCATTGAGTAGTACTCCATTGTGTAAATGTACCACATTTTCTCTATTCACTCTTCAGTTGCAGGGCATCTAGGTTGCTTCCAGATTCTGGCTATTACAAATATTGCTACTATGAATATTGTGGAACAGATGTCCTTGTTGTATGAATGTGCATACTTGGGGTATATGCCTAAGAGTGGAATTGCTGGGTCTTATGTTAGACTCCCAATTTCCTGAGGAATTCACATACTGATCTCCAAAGTGGCTGTAAGACTTGGCATTTCCACCAGCAGTGGAGGAGTGTTCCTTTCTCTCCACATCGTCTCCATCATAAACTGTCATTAGCGTTTTTGATTTTAGTCATTCTAATGGGACTGAGATGGTATCTCAGAATTGTTTTGATTTGCATTTCCCTGATGGCTAGCAATATTGAGCACTTTCTTAAGTGTCTCTCAGCCATTTTAGATGCCTCTATTGAGAATTCTCTATTTAGTTCTGAAGTCCACTTTTTAATTGGAACCTTTTGTGTTTTGGAGACTTGCTTCTTGAGTTCTTTGTAAATTTTGAATATCTGCCCTGTGTCAGATATGGGGTTGGTGAATACTTTTCCCATTCTCTGGGCTGCCTTTTTGACTTGTTGACACTGTCCTTTTCTTTGCAGAAGTTTCTCAGTCTCAGGAGGTCCCATTTATTAATTTTCAGTGTCAGTCTGTGCTATTAGTGTTATGTTCAGGAAGTGAACTCCTGTACCAATTCATTCAAGGGTACCTCCCCCGTCTCTTCTAAGAGGTTCAGTGTTGCTGGATTTATGTGGAGGTGTTTGATCCGTTTTGTGCATGGTAATAGACATAATCAATCTGCAGTCTTCTACATGCCAAAATCCAGTTAGGCCAGCACCTTTTGTTGAAGATCCTTTCTTTTTTCCACTGTGTAGTTTTAGCTTCTTGGTCAAAAATCAGGTGTTCATAGGTATGTGGGCTAATATCAGGGTTTTCAATTTGTGTCCATTTGTCTACCTGTCTATTTTTGTGCCAATACCAAGCTGTTTTCAGGACTACAGGTCTACAATAGAGCTTAAAGTCAGGGATGGTGATGTCTCTGGAAGTTCCTTTATTGTAAAGGGCTGTTTTGGCTATCCTGGGCCTTTTGTTTTTCCATATAAAGTTCAGTATTATTCCTTCAAGGTCTGTAAAGAACTGTGCTGATATTTTTGGGAATTTCATTGAATCTGTAGATTGTTGTCCTGTCTTATTGTATATATTTATGTGTTCATGATACATAAATTACAATATACTCAAAATATTTATCTTAAAACATGAAATTTTAATTTATAATATGATACATGTTCTTTAAAAGAGGATTTTCAGTGGTTTCCTGTTGTGAATAACTGCAGGTTATGTAACTTACAATAAACTCTATGTTACAAAAAAAAAGAAACCATAAAATAAAAATAAAAATATAAGAGAAAGGTAAAACAGAAAAGAAAGGAAAAAAAGAAGAAAACAAAGAAACAAGCAAAGCAGGAAAGGAAGGAAGAAAGGAAGGAAGAAAGAAAGAAAGAAAGGGCAGAAAAGAAAACAGAATGAAAAAATTAAACCCATGGAGTCTAATTTGGTTTGTTCAAGTATTTCTGGTCATGAGGCTTGGAGTGTGGCAATATGTTCACTATATGTTCTCTTTTTATTCATCCTTCAAGTACAATTTATTTGTGCTGAGATTTTTATCCCTTCAGTAGAGTGTAATTCACCTACCAGAGACAACATTCTTTTTTATTCATGATTTTTTAGTTTATATTAGAAACAATCTTGTTTTACATATCAATCCCAGTTCCCTTACCCTACACTCCTCCCCTGCCCTCAACCAACCTCCTATATCATCCACTTTCTGCTCTCCAAGGAAGGTGAAGGCTTCCATGGGGTAGCTTGAAAGTCTGTCACATCATTCGGAGCAGAGCCTAGGCACTCCCACATGTATTTAGGCTGAGAGAGTGTCTCTCTATGCAGAATGAGTTTCCAAAGTCCATTTGTACACTAGTTTAAATAGTGATCCACTACTAGATGCCTCAGAATGAGCCAACATTCTTAAAAATCTGACTCTTCCTCCCCCAGCAGCTATCACATAGTAGGGCTCCCTTAGGGCTTATCATCCTGTCTATCCACAGCTTCTTGGCCCTATGTTAATTATCCCTATGTTGATGATAAGTATGCGTTTCTTCTTTTTTGGGTTGGTTCTTAAATCCAATCAGAGATTGGTTGGTTAATCCCATGTTTAAAAAAACAGCCAGCTATAAGATCTGGAGCCACATTACAATTTAAGTAAGAAACAAGACTTCATGTAGAGTTTTGTGCATTTTTTTATTTTGCAGTGTAAATAGAGAAAATATAGATCAGAAGCTTATAAGACTGCTTTGGAAAAATTTGTAATTCTACTTTTAGGATTTACATATTGATGGGGAAGTCCTTTGTATATGTCAATAAAGCAATGTTGGCCAATAGGGAAGCAAGATAGGTGGAAATAGGAGTCAAGGAGGATTTTGGGAAAGAAAAACACACAGAGACAATGTAGCCCACCAGAGAAGAAAGATGTCCAGACCCTTTTCTGTGGTAATAGAAATACTTAGATTAACAATTATGGCTTAGCCAGGAAGAAACAAGCAAAGGGCCAACAGCTTCATAATTAATATAGTCTCCTGTGTGTTATTTGGGGACTGCAACTGTGGCAGAGCCCAAGCAGCTGGCAAGGGAAAAAAAAACAAAGCGGCTGGCAGAGGAAAACTACATGTTACAACACATTACCCAAGATTCACTATTTCCAGGACAAGGACTGTACAGAAAGTACTGAGATTATATTAGACACCCTTAGGACCAAATAAACTTTCCAGATTGAGTTTTTCCGTACTCAAAGAGTAATCTTTAAAATTTATTAATCTTAAAAAATATGCTTAAGTAATTAATATTAAAAATATTAATAATTTCATATTTGCAAAATGATATGTTCTAAAAACTAGTAAATAAATTTATGTGGCACAGTTTTCATGTATTAGTTGTATTTGGGTTTTTTTTTTTCAAGACAGGGTTTCTCTGTATTGTTTTGGAGGCTGTTCTGGAACTCGCTCGATAGACCAGGCTGGACTTGAACTCACAGAGATCCGCCTGCCTCTGCCTCCCGAGTGCTGGGATTAAAGGCATGTGCCACCAACGCCCGGCAGTTGTATTTGTTTTATGTCTTCAGAATGTTACTGTTTTTGGAAGCAAAACTTTAAAATGTTCAAAGGCAAAAAAGAAATCACAAAAGGGAAGGAGAAAGAAAAGGAAGAATTGATGAATAAGAACCCAGTTTTTGCCTGGAATTTTAAAAAGTTTTGAACAATGGAATCTAACACAAAGTTATTCAGTTTACTACACAATGTTAGTCAAAAAATGCTCTGAAACATTTAAACATCTTATTATGATGTTGTATTAATTTACTAAGGCAATACTATTGGAAAATCACAAGGAAATAACAAGAGTAGGTATGACAATATTTAAATTTACCTTGACTTATATAAGTTATAGAATTCAGATAAATTAATAACAAATTATTTTGGAATTATACTAGTATATTGCTTAATAAATAGTTTACTGATTTAAAGATTAACATTTTGTATTTTTGTATTTCATATTCATAAAATGATTTTTATGAACTATAATTAGTCAGCTGTAGAAGTTGAAGATTTTTTAAAAGTACGACTTATAAATTTCTTAGCAGCATTTTAAATCTCCTTATTCCTAAGGGTGTAAATAAAAGGGTTTAACAAAGGAATAATAACTGTATAAAATACAACCACTGGAATGTCTTTATTCCCTTCTTCGAATGGTTGAATATACATGAGAAGGCAGATGCAGAATATTGACACAGAAAGGAAGTGGGATGCACACGTAGAAAATGCTTTTCCTCTCCCATCGTTGTATTTCATCTTGATAATAAAGAAAAGAATGCAGAAATAAGAGACCAAGACAGTGGTAATAGTAAAGACTTGAATTGGCATTGAAAAAACATATACCATTAGTTCACTAATAAAAAGATCTGTACAGGACACCCTATACAGTGGAAGAATGTCACAGAAGATGTGATCAATGCAGTTGGATTTACAGAAAGTTAACCTTAAGAGACAGCCTACATGTATCATAGAATGCAAGTTGCTGGCTATGAAGGTGGCTATACTCATCTGAATGGAGAGCTTCTTGGACATCATGGTGTAGTATTGCAGTGGGTTGCATATGGCCACATAGAGGTCATAGGCCATTGCTGCCAGAAGGAAGCAGTCTGCAGTTTCAGCAAGACAGAGAAAATAGAACTGTACCATGCATTCATAGAGAGAAATCCTCCTGTCCACAGAAAAGAAGTTCTGTAGCTTCTTGGGAGTGATGGCGCAGGAGCAGCAGAAATCCATGAGAGCCAGGTTGCCCAGAAAGATGTACACCTACCTAATTGCTTTCAAACAAGTCTCTTTGTAAGTCTGGTCAGCAATCCCCAGTGATCACAGTGTCTCCACCTGCTCGCCTCCACAGAACTGGGGTTGCAGATGTCATAGTCAATGTGCAGATTTTTCTTGCTTATTAGAGATACAATTTGGTTCCTTGCTAAAGCCTTCTGATGACACTTTCCATTGGTCTTTTATTTCATGAAGATTTTTTTTGTTTTAAAGATTACATGTCTTCCTCTTTGGAAGATTTTCCCTATAAGTCTTGATGCTACCTTGCCTGTTCATGGGTTCTCTGACTGGCACATCTTCTGAAGCGCAGCATGGCCAATTTTGCAAGGTTATCTGTTTTATATGATAATTTTTCTTATTTAACTTTTTACACATATTATTCCCTCCTTTCCTCCTCCACCTCTGAATCCCCCCAAACAGACACTTGATTCCCAGTCTGCTCCCCAGGGAGGGTAAAGCCTTCCATGGGGGATTTTCAAAGTCTGTCATATCCCTGGGTAGGCCCTAGGCTCTCCCCATGTGTCCAGGCTGAGAGAGCATTCCTCCATGTGGAATGGGATCCCAAATTCCATTTGTATACCAGGAATAAATACTGATCCAAGGTACCACAGATGGCTGAGGCTTCCTCTCTGAAACCCAGGTTCAGAGGAGTCTGGATCAGTCCCAGGGTAGTCTCTCAGTCTGGGGTCCATATATTTCCCCTTGTTTAGGTCAACAGCCTCTGTGGGATTCACCAAACAGGTCTTGATTCCTTGCTCTTCACTCCTCTTTGCAACTGGGTACCAGGAGTTCAGTTCAGTATTTAGCTGTGGGTATCTGCCTCTGCTTCCATCAGAGACTGAATGTGTGTTCTAGGATGGCATATAAGATAGTCATCAATCTCAATATCAGGGTAGGGAATTTAAGGTAGCCTGATTTTTGGTCAGTGTCTTTCTTGTAGACCTCTGAAAATATAATGCCGGATCTCTCCTTTAACCTATAGTGGCTTTCTCTATAATGATATCTCTCATCCTGATCTCCTCTATTCTTACCTGACTCAAACTTCCTGCTCCCCCATGTCCTCCTCTCCCGTCCTAGTCTCCTCCTCTCTTTCTCCCATCTCCCTCTCCCCTCCTCTCCCATCAATCATGCTACCAATCCACTCAGGAGATCTCATCCCATTCCCCCTTATCCACGTATATCTCTCTCAGGGTCCTCCCTGTTTCCCAGACACTCTGGTGGTAGGATTGTAAGCTGGCAATCCCCTGCTCCATATCTAAAATTCATATATGAGTGAGTACATACCATGTTCATATTTTTTTGTGACTGAGTTACTTCACTTAGGATGGTTTCTTCTAGTTCCATCCTTTTGCCTGTGGAATTTCAAATTACTATTGTTTTTTTCTGCTGAGTAATAGTCCATTGTGTAGATGTGTCACATTTTCTCTATCTGCTCTTCTGTTGAGGGGCATCTAGGTTGCTTCTAGGTTCTAGCTACTACAAATAATGCTGCTGTGAACATAGTTGAGCATATGTCCTTATTGTATGAATGTGCATGTTTTGGATATGTGCCAAAGAGTTGACTTGCTAGCTCTTGTGGTAGACTGATTTCAGTTTTCCTGAGGAATCTCCATATTGATTTCCAAAGTGGGTGTACAAGTTGGGACTCCGAGCAGCAATGGTGGAGTGTTCCCCATTCTCCCCATCCTCTACAGCATAAACTGTTATTGGTGTTTTTAATTTTAACCATTCTAATGGGAGTGAGATAGTATCTCAGAGTTGTTTTGATTTGCATTTCCCTGATGGCTAAGGATGTTGAGCACTTTATCAAGTGTCTCTCAGCCATTTTAGATTCCCCTATTGAGAATTCTCTATTTAGTTCTGTATCCCACTTTTTTTTTCTTTTGGTTTTACGAGACAAGGTTTCTCTGTATTGTTTTGGAGGCTGTTGGTCCAGCCTGGCCTCGAACTCACAGAGATCCGCCTGCTTCTGCCTCCCGAGTGCTGGGATTAAAGGCGTGCGCCACCACCGCCCGGCATGTATCCCACTTTTTAATTGGATCCTTTGGTGTTTTGGAGACTTGCTTGAGTTCTTTGTAAATGTTGAAGGTCAGCCCTGTGTCAGGTGTAGGGTTGGTGAATATCATTTCCCATTTTGTGGGCTGCGGTTTTCTCTTGTTGACTATGTCCCTTGCCTTGCAGAAGCTTCTCAGTTTCAGGAAGTCCCATTTATCTCAGTATCTGTTCTACTGTTGTTATGTTCAAGAAGCAGTCTGTTGTAGCAATTCGTTCAAGGGTACTTCCCACTTTCTTTTCTAAGAAGTTCAGTGTGCCTGGATTTTGTTGAGATCTTTCATCCATTTGGACTTAAGTTTTGTGCATGGTGATAGATATGGATCTATCTGCAGTCTTTTACATGCCAGCATCCAGTTATGCCAGCACCATTTTTTGAAGATGCTTTCTTTTTTCCATTGTATAGTTTTAGCTTGTCAAAGATCAGGTGTTCAAATGTGTGTGGGTTCATATCGGGGTCTTCGATTCCATTGGTCTACCTACCTATTTTTGTGCTAATACCAAGCTGTTTTCAGGACTATAGCTCTATAATAGAGCTCAAAGTCAGGATTTTGTCAAAGATTTTTCATTATCTAGTGAGATAATCATGTGGTTTTTCTTTGGCAATTTGTTTACAGTGATAGACTTTCATATATTGAAACATCCCTGGGACAAATCCTGCTTGGTAATGGATTATTTCTGTGATGTGTTCTTGGATTCAATTTGCCAGTAATATATTGAGTATTTTTGCATCAATGTTCATGAGAGATGTTGGTCTGTAGTATTTTCTTAGTTGTTTCTTTGTGTGGCTCGGGTACCAAGGTAATTGTAGCCTCATAGAAAGAGTTTGGCAATGAACCTTCAGCTTCTATTGTGTGGAGCAATTTGAGGAATGATATTTATTCTTCTTTGAATTTCTCATAGTATTATGCACTGAAGCCTTCTGGGCCTGGGCTTTTTTTGCTTGGGAGAATTTAGAGGACTTTTTGTATATCACTAGTGGTTGTAGGTCTATTTAAATTGTCCATTTCCTTTAGATTTTCAAATTTTGTGGAATGTTGGTTTTCAAAATATGACTTGAAGATTCTCTAAGAACCAAATCTTTGTTACATTGATTCTCTGAATTGTTTGTTTCTACTTTAGTGATTTCTGCCCTTAGTTTGATTATTTCCTGCTGTCTACTGATCTACTCTCTGGGGTGAGTTTTTTTCTTTTTGTTCTAGAGTTTTCAATTCTCTAGTGTGACTATTCTCCAGTTTCTTCATGTAGGCACCTAGTGCTATGAACTTTCCTCTTAGTACTGATTTCAAAATGTCCCATAAGTTTGGGTATGTTGTGTCTTCATTTTCATTGAATTGTAGGAAGTCTTTAATTTCTTTCTTTCTTTCTTCCTTGACCCAGGAATGGTGCAATTGCACACTGTTCAATTTCTGTTAGTTTGAAGGTTTTCCACCATGCGTGTTTTTGTTGAAATCTAACTTTAAAGCAGGGTGGTCTAATAAGTTACAGGAGGTTATTCCAATGTTTTTGTACCTGTTGAGGTTTTCTATGTTGCCAAGTATGTGGTCATTTTAGAGAAAGTTCCATGTGCTGCTGAGAAGAATGTATGTACTTTTTTGTTTCGATAGAATGTTGTATAGATGTATATTAAACCTAATTGGGTCATAACTTTTGTTAGTTCATTTTTTCCTTTGTTAAGTTTCCGTCTGGTGATCCTGTCTAGTGGCAAGAGTGGCGTGTTAAAGTCTCACACTATAACTGTGTGAGGTCTTATGTGTGATTTGAGTTTTAGTAATGTTTTTTATGAACTCGGATGCCTTTGTATTTGGGGTATAAATGTTCAGAATTGAGACTTCATCCTGATGGATTTTTCTGTGATGAATATGAAATGACCTCCTTCATCTCTTTTGATTGATTTTAACTTAAAGTCTAATTTGTTAGATATTCGGATAGTTACTCCAGCTTGTGTTTTGGGTCCATTTGATTGGAAAATCTTATCCCAACCGTTCACTCTGATGAAATATCTGTCTTTGAAGCTGAGGTGTGTTTCTTATATGCAACAGAAGGATGAATTCTGTCTTCATATACATTCTGTTAGCCTGTGTCTTTATAGACAAGTTATTGAGGGAAATGAAGGATCATTGAGTGTCAATTCTTGTTTGTTTTGGATTTGTTGTTGTGTGGTATTGCATGTGGAGTTACCCAACTTTTTCCTTTGGCTTTTGGTAAAGTGGGATTATCTATTGCCTATGATTTTGTGAGTGTAGCTAAATTCCTTAGGTTAGAATTTTCCTTCTAGTACTTTCTGTTGGGCTAGAATACTGGATTTGTATTGTTTAAATCTGAATTTGTCGTGGAATATATTGTCTCCATCTATAGTGACTGAAAGCTTGGTTGTAGTCTGGGCTGACATCCATGGTCTCTTAGTGATAGTAGAATATCCATCCAGGACCTTCTGGTTTTCAGAGTATCCATGGAGAAGTCAGGTGTAATTCTGATAGGTTTGCCTTTATATGTTATGTGGCCATTTTCCTTTGCTGTTCTTAAGCCAACAAGACACTGGACAAGTTGAGAGAAATGTGCAGCAAAGAGTGCAGAATGGGATCAAAGAGTGCATTTGTTTTTGGTTTGGTAAAATGAATCTGTTTACTCAAGCACCTATACTGGCCTGTCCTTGAGATTCTGACAGGATATGCCTACAGCTGCAGCCACTAAGAACACTACCTGTGCCTATTCACTATGTTCCCTGTGAAAACGGTCCTTCCCACCTCCCATTCTTCTCTTTCTCTCTCCCCCCTCTCTATCCGCCTCTTTCCTCTCCTCTTTATTGCTGCTCCTATCTTCAGAGGCTGGTATCCTCTCTCCCTTTTCTCCTTTTTATGATTCCTTTCCCCAGTAAAAAATCCCTCTGCTTGAACCCTGTCTCATGGCATCTTTCTCTCGAGTGCTGCTTTTCTTTCT